ATTAAATCAGTTGCTTTTGAATTAAAGGGCTAAAAAAAATGGGAGTGCCGTGCATGATCGTTCTGAGTCCACGCGGTCTTGTTTCGATTGGCTTAATTGTTTTAACGATTCATTCTATTTTGTAAGCCGCCCAAAGTCCACTGGAGTGGGTGGCTATATTAAATCTAAATAATAACAATAATAATAACAGAAACTTGCCCTTTGAAACGAATATCACATCTGACACTTTTCCAGTTTCCTCCTATTCCTTGCATGTATTTTTATAAGACTGCATCTTATTCTGCCTTGCTAGATGGCCACCTCTCGTTGACCTTGGCTGATCGGACCTGGCGAGGTACGGATGGGAGAAACACCAGGGCTAATGTTGGACGGGGAACCAGGGTGGGGTGGTGGGGAAGACGTTGGACTGGGGAGACCCAGGTTCCAGTCCCCCATGGCCACTGGGGAGGGTCCCTGGGTGTCGTGGTATGTGGGAAAGACCTTGAGAGACGGGGCCAGAGACACTGCCAAGGAACGGTCAGATAAGAGGCAGCCTAGCCCTCAGCTGGATAGTGGATGGGGCAAGAAGCTCAGAAGGGACCCTTCCTAGTTTCTCGGTGGTAAAGGAGACCCGGGGGGGGAGAATTGTACTTTCAGACTTGCAAGATTTACGTCAGCCTTACTAGGTAGACCAGACAGGAAACACAACCAGATGAGCCAATTCTACTTTACTGTAAAGCTACATCAACAGACTCTTGCAAGTGGGAGTACAATCACGCATCTTCAAGTTGCCAAGGTTGACAAACGCTGCTCTAGAACATCAGAGAACATGTGGCTCCATCTTCTGATATAAGATTGCCATCATACCTCTCTTCTCGCAACCTTTCCTTCTAAGACTTGGTTTCCAGAACTTCTTCACTACCTTGGAGAAGATGGCAGTGGCACCTCTCACATGTTAAAATTGCACAAATAGCTGGGATTCCACAAAGATGTGAATTGACCCCAGATGCTAGGACAACTGGAACATCTGCATTTCCTCTGAATCACTGATAGATTTTGCCAAAATTTGTCTCCGGTATTCTCAGTGGACTGGACATTCAGGAAGACAAATGGACTTGCTGCCTCAACAATCTAGGTATCGATCGATCCTTTAAACAAATGACATAGGGGAATGACATAGAAGTGGAACAGAAGCTTTAAAAAAAGAGAGATAATATTACACATCAAGCAACAGCCTCTGCATTTTGTGCTAATTGTCCTCGGAAGTGGAATCAAAGATCAGCCCAAGAGAAATGAACCATTTGTCTCATGGTCTGTGGATGGAATGAGACTGAAGTAAAAATTGTGTTTTTTTCTTCCTTAAAGATCTGCCTGATTAATTATTGTTTAAAATAACAGGAGGGAATCATGAGCTGGCCACAAGTCAAGGCAGAAACTAATGACCAGATTTGCTGACTGTGGTAGAACAACAATAAGGCAGAAGGTTAGGTGAAGAACCGCCAAGGAATGTTTAAAATGGTTGGGATATCAGCACCCGTGGAACATCTCACCCCACTTCCCCTTCATGGGCCATGGAATCCAGAAATAGGTTTTCACTGAATCATAGGATCATGGAACTGGGGGGACGTTGGAGGTCTTCTAGCCACATTTGGTCAACGGTAGCCATTGGCCACAGCCCTGCTAGGGGAAGCCATATTGTTTCTGAACACAGAGGCTTTCTTTAATTGTGAACATAGTCAGTTCTGGCTTGTTGCATGAGGCCAGAGAATTTCCTGTTCCTTGCTCTAGGATAAGCAGATGTGTCCTGGAAGTTCACAAGCACTGTGTGAAGTCAATAGGCCTTTTTATTGCTGTGATGGGTGGGAATGTACCTTTAGGAAAATGGAACATCTATTTTAGTTATTACAGTCAATACTTGCTGCCAGTTTGACACCAGACCATTAACACGTATAGGATGAACACAAGCTACAATCTCCAAATTTGAACCGCTGTTCGCCAACCTTCTCCCAGACCAAAATTAGAAGGAGTGAATTTGGAAGAATCTTCCTCCCTTCTGGTGTAATTAGCAGCCGGTTTATTCCAGCTCTATGCTGCTCTGAAAGCCGATTTTGTTCTTTGCATCTCTCATTTGCAGTTTAAATAAAACCAGTTTGTTTTCCCAGGACAGAAAGCTATAATCATAGTGCCATAAACATGTAGGGCCTCTTGAACCAGAGTATAAAAAGAAAAAAAACAACTGGGAAAGATGGGATAAAATTAGAACATTGCTAAATAGTCAAGTTTCTTGCCACAATGTTTTGCCCACTTGGTTCTCTGTTTTGCAGCTGAAATGGAGAGAGAATCAAGACAGATTAGCCTTTAGCCCTCCTTAAGATCTCCAGATGGCTAGCATTAGGATAAATGGCTTTATACACAGTCAGGCTACTGGCTTCGCTAAGCACTAGGGTTGACCATGATGAAGTTCCCACATGATGCAAAGGTGAGGCTGATTTTAGTCAGGGTTTGTGGGAAAAGCCATAATGAGCTGATTTACCCATAACAGTAAGCTGTAAACCAAGGCTGAGTTCATGCAATCAAGTTAAGCCAAATCACATCACGGTTTAGCATGATGCGAGAGTTCAGCTGATCATTCTCCATCGTGTACCTGGAGAGGCCAAGGATTGAACCTGAGACCTTCTGGTTGACTTGGGAGGGATCTTCAAGGCCATCAAGGATTGAACCTGAGACCTTCTGGTTGACTTGGGAGGGATCTTCAAAGCCATCAAGGATTGAACCTGAGACCTTCTGGTTGACTTGGGAGGGCTCTTCAAGGTCATCAAGGATTGAACCTGAGACCTTCTGGTTGACTTGGGAGGGCTCTTCAAGATCATCAAGGATTGAACCTGAGACCTTCTGGTTGACTTGGGAGGGATCTTCAAGTCCATCAAGGATTGAATCTGAGACCTTCTGCTTGACTGGGGAGGGATCTTTGAGGCCATCAAGGATTAAATCTGAAACCTTCTGGTTGACTTGGGAGGGATCTTCGAGGCCATCAAGGATTGAATCTGAGACCTTCTGCTTGACTGGGGAGGGATCTTTGAGGCCATCAAGGATTAAATCTGAAACCTTCTGGTTGACTTGGGAGGGATCTTCGAGGCCATCAAGGATTGAATCTGAGACCTTCTGCTTGACTGGGGAGGGATCTTTGAGGCCATCAAGGATTAAATCTGAAACCTTCTGGTTGACTTGGGAGGGATCTTCGAGGCCATCAAGGATTGAATCTGAGACCTTCTGCTTGACTGGGGAGGGATCTTTGAGGCCATCAAGGATTAAATCTGAAACCTTCTGGTTGACTTGGGAGGGATCTTCGAGGCCATCAAGGATTGAATCTGAGACCTTCTGCTTGACTGGGGAGGGATCTTTGAGGCCATCAAGGATTAAATCTGAAACCTTCTGGTTGACTTGGGAGGGATCTTCGAGGCCATCAAGGATTGAATCTGAGACCTTCTGCTTGACTGGGGAGGGATCTTTGAGGCCATCAAGGATTGAACCTGAGAACTTCTGCTTGACTTGGGAGGAATCTTCAAGGTCATCTAGTCCAACCCTCTCCTCACAGCAGCACTCCATGAACATATCCCCAGTCAGAGGCATCCGACCCCTATTTCAATGAGGGGGAAGACCCTCCCAGCTCTTGTCAGACTGTCCCATTGCTTGACCGCTCTTCCTATCAGGATATTTCTTCTAAGATTCTACCTGAAATATGGATTTTGCTTCAGTGGGTTGTGACATAGGCAGAATTCCTGACTCGACACATTCATGGTGTTGCTACCACTTTCATTTTCGCTTATTTGTTCAATATTTGTTCACACACACACACAAGCAATGAAAAAAAGGAACAGAAGAAGAATTCTGTAGACCAGTGTTTCTTAACCTTAGCAACTTTAAGAGGTGTGGACTTCAACTCCCTGAATTCCCCAGCCATCATGCTGGCTGGGGAATTCTGGGAGCTGAAGTCCACACCTCTTAAAGTTGCTAAGATTGAGAAACACTGCTGTAGACTAAGTAGCATCATTAGTCCATCAAATCTGTAACTGGCAGCATCATTCAGGGATCAACATTCAGGTAGATCCCTGCAAACTCAAATTCTGGACAATGCTCTTCAGCTCCGAATGCAAGTCAGGAAAATAAAAGTATGCTACTCCTGGGGTAAGCTCCTTCCATCACGGGGTAGGAAATTCCCTGTATTTGCTCCCCCTTTAACAGAAACCACAATTTTTGGTTTTCCTGTCTTTGACATCCCTGGTAGAAATTCCCTTCTGCAACCAAGTGGAGGTGTATTTATGCAGTTGTTCAAGATGAATTTAATCCATTTTTTAATCAGATGGTTTGAGCTGAAATGAAGTTTGGGAAGGAAGAGGGCATCTAAACACAATTTACCTAAACTCAGTCTGGGTTTGCATTTTATTCATTGACATGGGCTTCGCTACTGGAATCAGAGCTGCAGTGAGGTCTGAGGATCAAATGCATATCTCCAGGACAAAATTAGACATTTTTCAACGAAATTCAAAAATGGGTCCAAATTTTGAAGTTTTTGGTTAATGACTTAACGCATTCTTTTTTTTTTTTTCAAGCACTGTATCTAAAGAAAAAATTCCCTGTTCCGGCTTGCTGCAGAGAGGCCAAATTACATATTACCCAGCATTTCTTACCACTTTTCCTGACCATTTCTTTTTTTCTCTTTTTAATGAAAAGCAGCTGCAGCGAAGGAAGAGAAGGACCTAGAACTTAACCCTTTCCCTGACAGTTGGGTTTCTTCCTTCAAAATAAACAAAAGAGGCTCCAAGTTAAACTCAGTTTCTGGTGATTATATGTGAATGTCCATGTAGTTTTCTTGGCAATAACGTGGAAGTGATTTGCTGTTCCTTCCTTCCATCTTCATTCCTTCCTTCTCCATCTTCCATTCTAGCCCACCGCTCTGGGATGTCCTGATGGCCTTCTATCCACGTAGTAAGCAGGTCCGAGCACATTTAGGTTTGTGTAAATCAACCAAGACTCCCTAGCAATTACTCTCTCAAAACCACCTAATGTGAATGGATCTTCTGAAGGTGTCTCCCCTTGGAAGTCGAATGGAAGTGTGGGAAGAATGGAGGGTGCAGGGCCCTGGTGGGAAGGGAACGTGTGGAGGAGGCAGAGTCCTGGAGGGAAGGGCAGCCAGGGAGGGTGGGGAGCCCTGGAGGGAAGGGCAGCCAGGGAGGGTGGGGAGCTCTGAGCACAAAATAAGAGGAGATCTCCTCTTTGCCACTCAGGACCATTTCTTCAAGAATTCTCTTCTCCTTTAAGGAGCTCTAAAATACATTCTTTTCCTAATGCAAATACATTTCTTGTCCAAATGAAGGACAAAAGGTGGAAAGAAACCCAGTACTTTGCCTGCTGTAGTAGAAGCTGCAAGCGGTAGGGAAAATAAACTGGTAGGGAAAAAAAGAGCAGAACAGGGCAAAATCCAACCGGATTTGCTATCACGTGTGCTGGGCGATTGGAAGATTCCTCCCTCCAGTTTATGGATCCAGCTTTTATTCCAAGGGTGGGATCCTGCAAGCCATTAAACCCGCTTTAGCAAACCACCGTTGCTGCCTTCCCATTCACGTCAAGCTCTGCTCAGACAATGGTTGGTCTTTCCAACCCGCAGGGCCCCAAATTCCCCGCTCCCTCCATCCCAGATTAACCTGTCGTGAGAATCCAGCCTCAACATTTGTTTTCCAAGCACCCTCTGCCTTCCTTCTCCCCCTTCTGCCTTTCCTGTTAGTGGGTCGTTGGCCTGGGTTCATTAATCCTCGAGATTGACTTTGAACCGAAGGGCAAATATTAAGCCATTCAACTTTCTCTGCTCAGCCATAAATCACACCCTGCCTTGGCTTGGAAAACAGAGGCCAAAGGTTGCCCCTATCTCCGAGCGAAGGATCTTTGACACAGGACTTCGGACATCCTTGCAACATCATTCGACTTTATCTCAACTGGCTTTGAAGCAGACTTGTAAAAGGAGGCTGAGATTACGGTATTGCCGCTTAATATATGGGGAGGGTGAAAGTTGAGAGCTGAAAATGAGGAGTCTTAAACTCTCAAGGAAACCAAGCTGAATGTTGGACCTGTTTTTCTGGGCTGCGTTAGGTGGGGGCTCAGGAACTGGATCTTGAGAAACATCTCCAGGGGAGGGTCTGTGCCCTCTACAGGGAGATCTGGCTAGTTGAGAGGGGGGCTTAATTCCACCCTCCCCCTCAGCCTCTACGACCATCCCTTTCCCACATTGCTTTTCTCTCAGCCATCTAGACACGTCTCTGAGAGCTTTGCTAGTGACGTGCTGGAGTAAGGAGGGAAGAATTGAAGCTAGGGGTAAAAGCTTTAAGCCCCCATCCACCCATTTCTCCCTTCAAAATGGGGGTTTCTCCATCAGGGTCTACCTTTCCTGTAGAGACTCCAGGGTGGCATGGGGTTTATCCCAACATTCACCAACCAGTGGCTTTCAGAAGTGGTAGACTTCAGGTTGGAGATGTAGAGGCCAGAAGGCCAGGAGTTTCTGGGTTGGAATTTAGAGTTCTGGTTAGAAAGGTTCCAGAAAAAATATATATTTAAAGAAATAAGTGATAGGCAATCTGATGGAACAGACTCATATTTTCACCCATGGCTTATTCTGAATTTAGGCTGACATTTAAATCCTTAATTCTGAGAGTCTTTCATTGCAGAAGGCCCAGCTCTTCCCATCTTCCTGCACTTGGTGGTGGTTCTTTTCACATTTCAGGCCACCTTTGATGCTAGGAGAACTTCCCAACCCTTCTACCCCAACTTCTTTTGTTAAGAGAAGCCACAATTGGATGGTTTCTCTCCACAGTGATCGAAGCGATGCCAAAAATGCCTTGAAGGGTGTTGCATTTCCAGGGAGAGTTGAGACCCGAATTTTTGGGCCTGTTTTCCTGGGGAAAGGTGGAGATTTTCCAGAGTGAGAAAGGATATGAGAAACCTTGTGGGGGCAAATCAGTTTCTTTTCCTCCCCTAAAAAAAACCCCATCTTCCCTACCCTGCCCCCTGCTCTCACTTCCACCCTTATTTTGGAGAAATCCTCTGAAATGTGTCTTTTTGCCACCAAATTTTGACAGCCCGATCTTGAGGGGTGCAGCTGAGTCGGGTGCAAATGACACCACTGAGGTCATGGCTTTATGGTGCAAAGGGTGCCACGGGGGGCTCTGTGAGATGCAACTGATGCCATTTACATCGGCGCATCATCAGAGCGATGGTGTGGTTGCATCTATGACGTCACCATCGTGATATGGCGGCTCGTGGGGCCGCAAACGGAGCGTCGGGACTAATTTTGCCCCACAGGCTGCCCGCCCTCAGGTTAATACAGTGCAGCGTTAAGGGTTCACTTCGTTTTGTTTTGATTTTTGTACAGATGCATTATTTATTCCACCTTCCTTCACAGATACTCAGATTAGGCTGCTAAGTACACGCTGTTCCGCTCATCGCGCTGCACCAAGAACAAGGCGTCGCTTATCAAGTGAAGAAGAGCAAACCATACCCCGATGAGCAGTGGCATTTCGCTTTAATCTTATCTCTCTCCTTTTCCGGAGAATAAACAGAGAGCGCTGACCCCCATTTGGCAGCAGACTTCAGGAAAAGGCGTCTGATGCTACTCTGACAGGTCTTCGCACCACCTTGCCAGGAAGCGAAGCTGTCGTGGTGGTTTTTATCGATCGCGTTCTCATAGCTTCAGAAGCTTGGGGAGAGAAAAAAAATAAATGCGTTCTTAAGCGTGCCAGCGGCTGAATCCATCTTAGCAGCTTGGCAACTTTAAGATGTGTGGACTCCAGTTCCCAGAATTCCCCAACCAGCGTGCTTTAAGATGTGCAGACGTCAACTCCGTTCCACCCATCTTCTGACCCTCTGAGTCCCAGAATTAGCTTCCTGTCTACTCTGGGAGCAGAGCAGAGACTGGTCCTGGAACGGGAAGTCCACCGGGCTAGAAGTCCTACAACCCAAATTCCCCACCCGCTTGGAAACATCCAGGAATGCAGAGGAGGCCTCAATCATCTTGACCCACATGAGATTTGTCTTCCAGCCCTCCAACTTGCAAGAAATCGAACCAGAAGCAGTACCCTCCTCTTTCTCCTATTTGTGCGCCCAAGAGGGACCCCCTGCGCATTTGCTGTGGGCCACCGTAAGTTGGCGATGGGGCCAAGCACGAGGGGCTTCTTGTAGTTTCGATTTGGGGCGAGTCTTAGCGAGGGCTCCTTTCTCTGTTTTACCTCCATTTACATGAACATCTAGCATGACAGCCTCCCTCTGTTTCCTGTCTCCAGATGGGGGGAAATGGTGCCCTTCATTTTCAGCAACAGTCAGAGGTGCCCAGGCTGCACGTTGCCGACCCCCTCCCATGGGGTGGCCCATTGCTTCTCATTTCAGCCTAGATACAATATTCTCCTGGTGGACTAAAATCCTATTTCCCTCCTCTAACCCAAACTGGAAATCTGGGAGTGTTGAAACTCCCATTTATTGTGCCAAATCTTAACATGCGGAAGGACTCTGTTTGGGTTCCCAGGGGCCCGAGAGCCTCTGGATCTCGGATCCTGTTTGCAGGGGCAACAGAAGCAAACCGGCCAGCAACAGAAACCACGGCTGGCATTTGCCGATGGCGCAGCAACACAAGGCCCCTCTCTCCAGCCCTCCTGCCACAATTTCTCCTTCCAAAGCTCTTCTCGTGCACCCACGGTGAGCTGTGCCAGATCAGAAGCCGGGGAAGAAAAACATGAAGCAGGCAGCCGATAAAGGCTTCATCCGGGCCGGCAAGTCACACCTTCCCTCTTCTTGGGCGTCCCAATTCAGCCGGAAGAGAGCCAAAGCAATCCGGGCAAGGGACTTAGAGACTGCAGCCAGACGATTTTATTCAGCAGCTGTAACCATTCTGCCTCCTCAGTCAGTGGGAGTCTTTCCTGGGGAAGGAGATAAAACGAAGCACGCCCCTGCCACTTCGTTCCAAATCAAGAAACACACGCAACCACGTTGCCCGAGCAGAAATTGGTTTGAGAACTGCTCCTTTGGTTCATTTCGATTTGAGGAAGAGGCAAGTGTGCCAAACTCCACCGAGGAACCGGGGAGGTTGCAACTCCAGGAAAGGTCTCCCCCCACCATAAGCCACCGTCACAGATTTAAGCCGTGGTTGCTCCAACGTGCAAGGGTTCTGAAGTGCCAAAGTTAGGATAAGCCATCGTGCAACACCGCTGGAGGGGCAGGAATCTATCCGCAGTTTTTTCAGCATAGGGTCAAGAAAAGGGAGGTGCCCTGCAACTCAGGTTGGCAATTTCATGCCCGTGGGCATCCGAGCCGCCAAAGCACCAGCAGAGGGCATCCGAGACCTGACCCCTCCCAAATTGGAAAAATTAAAGTAAAAATAAAATGGCCCAACCATCAGGAGATAGCTAAATCTCACAGCAACTTTATTTTGTAAAGGGTTCTTTGTGTTATTGGTTTTTTAATGGGAATTCATTGGTACTTGGGACATCAAATGGATTGTAAGAGCATTGATCTTGGATCTACCAAGTGGTAGACCCCAAAGACAGTCCTTTTTCCCAAGAATATCTAGAGCAGTGTTTCTTAACCCGGGCAACTTTAAGATAGGTGGACTTCAACTCCCAGAATTCCCCAGCCAGCCATGCTGGCTGG